TTATTAGATCTGGTGCAGCTCTTCTTTTATTTCTATGTCTGTCAATGAGTTTGGTACGGATGCCTTTTTTCCCACCACACTCACCACTCAGCCAGCCCCTTTCTCTGGGATGAATGGCCCTTCATGCCTTCACAATGTTTTTGTCCCACAGGGTGAAGATTGAGAAATTGTGACGCTGTCAGAGGCTGTGTTGTGCCACCTTCCATCAGTGATGGCTGCTTCTGTGGAGCTGTTCTTCACCTGGAGCCTGCTCTTGCCAGCCTTGCATCTGGCCTTCCAACTCCCTACCCCAGATAGCCTCGCCGGGGACCCTCCTTTGAGTTCAGCACCAGGACTCCTTCCTCTGAATGCACCCTCCCAGGAGTCTCCTCCAAGCATGCCACCAGCACAGCTCCCTTCAGATCCTGCACCCCTTGAGGTCTCAAGCATTTATGAGGATCCCAGTAATGAAAATTGGAGAGAGGACAGTCCTGTTGGCACTGCTGTAACTGTGAGGCCCTTTGGCTCGACCAGTTCTGGCTCAGGGATAGTTACTTCTGAAGGAGATTTCTCTCCTCCCCTTGCTGCACAGGGTCCGACTGTGGCAAATGACTTTACTCTGCCAACAGTGGGATCCTCCAGTGTTCAAACAGCATCCGAAGATGTTGGCCCCATAACTTTGGGACTAAGTCCAGAGCAGGCAGAGGATAGGCCCTCCCTGACTCTGCCGGATTCGGAGACTGCAAGCATAGACCCCTCTTTGATGGCCTCTTTCCCTGCCATGTCCACAGCAGAAGCCTCAGACATTCCTGCCTCCCGGGAGGGGACTGGGCCTAGTCACCAGGAAACTGAAATCCAAAATGTCTCCCTGGCAACCACAGTAGGGCCCCTGCCCACGGTGTCTACCATCCCCTTGTTGACATTGCCCACTGACAGGTCCCATGTCACATCGCTAGCCATGGAGGATCCCACGCTTAAGGGGGACGATTCCTTGGGCTGGCTGGGAAGTGGGGCACCTGAGCAGGAGCTGCTAGGCAGAAATCAGACCACCGTCAAATATTTGGCTTCATACAGGAGCACGCAAGTGTACGGTAGCCCTCAGGGCCAGGAAGAGCTCTCAACGTCTCCTTTTAAACCTGCTCAGACAGCTGAGAATACCCAGAATCCCCCTGGGCCATGGAGGGACTCCATGCCTGTGGCTTCCACCTCCCAGGCAACACCGTTTCCTGTGACAACTCTCCCACTGGATGGGAAAAATCAGAGGCTTGTCCCTCTTCCAGCAAGTTCCCAGTCACCAACTTCTAAGGGTTTCTTCCCAAGCCCTTCCACCTCTTCACCAGCAAGGGGCATGACAGGAATCCCCGAGGTGCCAGTTGCCCGTGAAAGAAGCACCTATTGGAGTCTGGGCGGGGATCAAACACAGCACTCTGGAACCGAAAGGACTCACTTCCATGGATCTGTCAGCCCAGGTAGGTCGGTGGCTTTATCTTCTTTTAATACTAAATGGCATTCTCCCCAGTCCTTGATGGAATCGGTAGCCCTCCTCCCTATCTCGCTTTCTCACACACACCATGCAACGAAGCTTGGGAGAGTGATGGTTGTTGTGGGTTTTTCGAGCTCTTTGGCCGTGTTCTGAAGGTTGTTCTTCCTGACGTTTCGCCAGTCTCTGTGGCCATGGGCATCTTCAGAGGACTGGAGTAGGAACTCTGTCCATGCTCTGGAGTAGGAACTAAAGAGTTCCTACTCCAGTCCTCTGAAGATGCCCATGGCCACAGAGACTGGCGAAACGTCAGGAAGAACAACCTTCAGAACACGGCCAAAGAGCCCGAAAAACCCACAACAACCATTAGATCCCTGCCGTGAAAGCCTTCACAAATACACTTGGGAGAGTGACTTTCTGGGCTACTACTCCCAGCTAGTGTTAGCAGTTGCCCTACACACAACTTCTGCTCTGTGAAATAGCAGGTAAGTGGACAAGATTAGAATGGATGGAAAGCAGCAGTAGAAGCAGCAGACCAGATGATGTGGGGAGCCAGGGTTCTAATGATATGAAAAAGAAACAAGAGGTTTAAAAGGTGTTTGTGGGGGTGTGAACTGCAGGAGGACCACGCTGACATACTGAAATTAACGAGAGGCATTCTGTACTTCAAAAAGATTATATCTAACAAAAAGAAAAAAAAGGAGAGAACCCAACAGGGGGAGAAAATGTTTTCCAGTCCACTGGCTAAATGCCTGCTTAAACAAAATATATTTTTCTTCAGGTGCGAAATGGCGAGAAAGAGAAGATATTATTATTTTTATAGCTTCGTGGGGAGTTTTGTTGGTCAGGGTGTGAGGTCCCACCCAGACAAATATGCTTTTTTGTTGGGTTGTTTGTGGCCATTCCCTAAAACCATTGTGTTGTTATATTGTTATACCGAGCACTTCCTCTTACAGCAAACTCTGCTGACGAGTGCTGAGAGAAATGGAGCCAAAACCTCAGTCCCTTCAAATCAAAAGGAAGAGAACAGGCCATGCAGGTGAAACCCTGAGGTTTGCAGAAATGCAGAAATCGTTTCCCCACAAACTTGAGAGGGCCTCTGCATTAAGGAAACCAGCATACTCTGTAATCATGGGATGCTGAGTGTCATTTGGAATTTAAAGCAAGGGAGAATGCGGAACCGAATGGAATCTCCTGGCGGAGGAAGGCTCAGTTAATTGGCTGACTTGCCTACCCTCTGTTGGTTTCAAGTCCCACTTGTACGTTCCAGCTGCCATTCTTTCTCGTTCCTCTCAATACGTTTCCATGTCAGCGAAAAGAAATTGCAGTGGTGGAGAATATTGTTTGTGCACAGGGTGGAAATAATATGGCTATAGTTACGCTTTGCTCTGTACTGCATACACAAGGACCTGGTAGAGTGAGGTAGATTTGTTTCATAATGGCTTCGTTAGGGTGATAGACAGGGTAAGGTTGTGATGATGTGTGGGGTGAAAAAGAGGATGGGAGCAATGGAAGAAGTGACAAGGATAGTGGAGTTTTATTGTATTGCATTGTATCTGGAAAAGTATGCTTTTTTGTATGGCTGAATTATGGTTTTGGTTTGATTGTTGATTATGCTGAGCTATTAAATTATGCTGAGCTATTGATGATTGTCACAAACAGAGAGAGAAGTAAAATAGAATTATTTTTTTTTAATTAGATGGCATTGTATCACATTTGTCCCTACAGTGCCCATCAGCCTCATGGCTTACCAGGATAACCAGTGTTAAGTGACATATGGGAGCTGTAGTTCAAAACAAATTATAAGATCGAGGTTTCCATACGCCAGTCATAATTCAAGGTCTTCCTTGACACAGGTTTCAGTTCAGTCTTCTGCCGTTTGGCTGCCCTTTTTGAATGAATTTTCATGTGCTAGTGGGATCTCCCTCACTTTTTTTCCCTCTGTTCAGAAGCCCCTCTCTCTGACTGACAGCAGAGCTGTCTGACTGACAGCAGAGCTTAGTCCAAGGGACTAAGCCAGAAGCATGGAACTCAAATTGGAGGGATTTGCCCTTTCTCTAGAAGAGGGCAGGAGGCAGAGAGATGGTCCCTTGCTGAATGTAGGCCATGCCTCTCTTTCAGGAGTTGAGGAAGCAGTTGACATGGTAGAACCCCAACGAGTCCGGGGAGCTGTGAACTCCAAGGCTACTTATTTTGGCTCCTCTACCCCTGGACAGAGCACCTTCATGGTGAGGAATGGCTCAGGAACCAAGCATCCAGGTGAGTGAGAACAACAGGGTAAAGATGTCTAAGAAAGGATGGAGAATGTCATGGGATCAGATTTAAGGGCCATTTTGTCTGACTTCCTGCTTCCCTCAGTGGCCACCCAGATGCCGACAGGCAAAATGGAATGGCTGTTGTTTCTCAGCAACTAATATTTACAGATTCACTGTTCCTGAACATGGAGGATCAACATAATTGTCATCATTAGTTGACCAATCCTTCATGGATTTGCACCGTTCCCCTTTAAGGGCATTTAAACCATCACGTCTTGTGGTAGGTAGTGTATTCCAAAAATTAATTTTGGCCTGCATGAAATAGCACTGCCTTGATTCTGTCTTTAATCTAAAGCCAATCATTTTGGTTGGATTTTGATGGAGCTTTGCTGGTTGTTGTTACAAAACTAACAAAGAATCTTGTGGCATCTTGAATAGCGGCATTTATTCAACATAGGCTTTTGCAGACTGCAGACCACAAATGAATCTGATGAACTGGAGTGCAAGTCAGCAATAAACATTGCTCGTTTTTAAGATGCCACAAAACAATTTGATTGGGAAACCAAGTTCTTTTTTTTCTCTTTCCCTCCCCTAGTATATTTGCACTTCATTGCCATTATAAACATCCCTCCGTTCATGCGTTGGCAGGTACTGAAAACGGCCAGGATTGCTGGTATATATCAATCAGGGATCAAGATTCAAACTGCATTTTGATAAATGAATAAGATAAGTCTGTGCAATAAGTTGCTTTGTTGCTATCTGTTAGACATTGGTATTATGTATTATTGTAGATTTTTAATATAAGAAAGGTCCATGTGAAAGCAGTAGGAGAGTATGCATACTTAGTGATTCATGGGATGGATTATATTGTTATTCATCCTTATAAAGGAGGTTTTTATATGGGTGTTTTTATGTGGAGGTGTTTTTTTTACTTATACAGTAATTCTCTTTTCACCATGCGTCCTAATGAGTAAGCATTGCACTGGAAGAAATGTTAGATGGAACGCCCATTGAAAACTGGCTTTTCCTCATAGCTGTGAGGAGTCATGGTTGGAGTGCTGGCATAGCACTGGGTGGAGACCCCTGATTCTGTTCTCAGCCATGATACTCATTAGTAGCTTGCCTGTAGCTAGTTACTCATAGCCTAACCCACTTCACAGGGTTGCTGAGATGCTAAAAATGTGTAGAAAAAAAAACCCACATTGGATCTGCTAGCTTCCTTGTGCTTATTATAATAACTACATACCATCAGGTTGCTCTTAGCCAGGGATGTTGGCAGTTCTTTGGGTCTGAGTCCCGAGTCTGAATCTTTGGTTGTGGTTGTTGTTGTTATTATTTAGTCGTTAAGTCATGTCCGACTCTTCGTGACCCCATGGACCAGAGCACACCAGGCCCTCCTGTCTTCCACTGCCTCCCGCAATTTGGTCAAATTCATGTTGGTAGCTTCGATGACACTGTTCAACCATCTCGTCCTCTGTCATCCCCTTCTCCTCTTGCCTTCACACTTTCCCAACATCAAGGTCTTTTCCAGGGAGTCTTCTCTTCTCATCAGATGGCCTCCAGCTATTGGAGCCTCAGTTTCAGGATCTGTCCTTCCAGTGAGCACTCAGGGTTGATTTCCTTCAGAATGGATAGGTTTGTTCTCCTTGCAGTCCAGGGGACTCTCAAGAGTCTCCTCCAGCACTACAATTCAAAAGCATCAGTTCTTCGGCGGTCAGCCTTCTTTATGGTCCAGCTCTCACTTCCATACATCGCTACTGGAATAACCATAGCTTTGACTATTCGGACCTTTGTCGGCAAGGTGATGTCTCTGCTTTTTAAGATGCTGTCTAGGTGTGTCATCACTTTCCTCTCAAGAATCAGGTGTCAAGATATTTTGTGGCTGCTGTTGCCATCTGCAGTGATCATGGAGCCCAAGAAAGTAAAATCTATCACTGCCTCCATATCTTCCCCTTCTATTTGCCAGGAAGTAATGGGACCAGTGGCCATGATCTTAGTTTTTTTGATGTTGTGCTTCAGATCATGTTTTGCGCTGTCCTCTTTCACCCTCATTAAGAGGTTCTTTAATTCTTCCTCACTTTCTGCCATCCGAGTGGTATCATCTGCATATCTGAGGTTGTTGATATTTCCTCCGGCAATCTTAATTCCAGCTTGGCATTACTCCAGTCCTGCCTTTCTCATGATGTATTCTGCATATAAGTTGAATAAGCTGGGGGACAATATACAGCCTTGTCGTACTCCTTTCCCAATTTTGAACCAATTAGTTGTTCCATATCCAGTTCTAACTGTTGCTTCCTGTCCCACATATAGGTTTCTCAGGAGATAGATAAAGTGGTCAGGCACTCCCATTTCTTTAAGGACTTGCGATAGTTTGCTGTGGTCCACACAGTCAAAGGCTCTTGCATAGTCATCTTTGGTACCAAATCCCAGGTCCATGTCTCTATTAAAATGCTTTTTTCCCTCCGAAAAAAAAGGAAGACTGAGTGTCTTGGTTCTGTGTCACGGGGCAAGTCCAATTCATGAAAAAAAAGTCCTCGATCCAAGTCCAAGTTGCTGGTGCGTTGACAGTGAGCCTTATGACTTGAGTCTCCATTCCTGCTGCTAACTGCAGTTTATAACTGTTACAGATTGGGAGCAGGGCTTGGATTGGAGGGCTCTGGTCCTGTTTTTAAAGCAAAAATATTCAAGTTCACTTTTTATAAACAATGTAAACGTAATGGATAGCTTGACCTGGGAATGTATCAAGTAACTACATGTATGAGCATGTTTAGGTCCTTTTTATTTCGCTCTCCTCCTTTTCCCCTCCTGGTTATGTTCTGCCTGCACTGTTTAAATCAGGAGTGCCTAACCTCTGGAAGCTAGAGAGACCTATCTTGTAGCCCCCACCCTTCCACTGCTGCTGGATTTGTGTGTGTGTGTGTGTGTGTGTGTGTGTGTGTGTGTGTGTTTATATACATACACAGAGACAGACAGACAGAGAGAGAGAGAGAGAGAGAGAGAGACTGGCAGTGTGGAACCAGCAACACTGACTGATGTCACTGGAAGACCGCTTGCAATCCAGCACCCCATAGCAACATGAAAAACTTAAAGGCCTCCCACCCCATATATTCCTTCCTTTGCTTACAGCACTTTGAAAAATGCCCTGCACGTTGTCAGTGCTCCATAAATAATAAATTGTAATAATAGATTGGATGTGTTATTCAACACAGTGAATTGCATTACTGCTGGGCTTTTGTTTCAAAGCAGATTTTAAACATGCCTTTCTTGCAAAAATGCTGATTACGGTAGCTTAGCATCATCATTCTTTTTATTCTCCATAACTTATTCTATCTCTGCTAGTGATGGGGAGAGAGGGGAGAAAAGTTATATACAAGGCCCTGTATTGATGGTTGGGGTGAGGGGAAGCTATGACATCAGGCCCAAGACATCTTCCTTCTGTTTATCAGGTGTTCTGAATAAAGGCATCAGTTCATATCCCATGACACAGCTTAGTAGTGGAGCAGCTGCTTTACATGCAGAGAGCCCCAGATTTAGTTCCTGGCAGTTCTTGAGTTACAGGGATTGGCAGAGGAGCCATGGATTCATTAGATTTTGTACTGGCCCCTCAGCTGCATCTTTTCTAAGGCTGAGGATAGGAAGTCATGATTTGGCAGATGTAGGAGGAATGAGGGATGGAGCTTGTAGATTTCATTAGAGGCCCCCTACAAATTCAAGCACTGGTCCTTGCCTTCTCTAGCTAGAAGGATCCCTGATTGCAGACACTAAGATCTTTGCTTTTGCATGCTGTTGCTGGACAAAGTAGATGATACTGGGCTAAATAAACCAGTGGCTTCCTTCTATATAAAGTTGAGGTGACTATGAATGTATACATCTTCTACATTACCTGTTTGAACTCATCGGTGATGTGATGCAGCAATTCTTTTGACACCTGAGCTTTCACTGGGTCCTGCCTGCACACTCTCTCAACAATATTTGTGCTGCCAGGAATGCAAAAAAGATGTACTTTTAAAAAAACCAATGGAAGTGGCTTTGTGGAAACTGGACTCTGCAATGAGGACAACATGCTGCTTTTTTTTCTCTGAGAAGAATTGTGGCACAAATACACAGCTGCTATCCATGATGGCTTACTTCTGGGAAGTTTTACTTTGCAAATTCTTTCTGCATACAGTACTGTACTTCTTTTGCCCATTAGTGACACTCTTCCCTTTTAAGAGCTGTTGGTCCTGTGGTATAAGCACGCTTGTTGTTTGGCCTGTTTAGCTGGAAGATAGCAGAACTGTGGCGGCAGATTCCAAGGGTGAGTAAAAATAGGGGCACAATGAGGGAAAGAAGCAGGGAAGCGAGAAGGGATAAAACAGAACGCCACTGGCAGAAGAGGACTGACACTTTAAAAAATCATTTCCCCTGACCCTCTGTAGATAATCAGGAGAAGCACTTAATTGACAGGTGATTGGACTACAAGAGGTTGTTTGCTGTTGCGATGGGAGGAGCCACCGAATGGCACATTGCTCCTCCCCACTGCCACCTCAACAGACCTTTTGTAGCCCAATCCAGCCTCCACCAAAATGGTCAGTCTGGAGAGGCCCTTAAATGACCTTTCACCTCAGTTTTTCTATGGAAATTAGTGTCAATTGCTAGGCACCCGCTGTATCAGAATGAAGATGCTTATGAGATTGATATTTAAAATACAACTAGTTCTACTAGTGAGAACACAGTGCATCATGGCTCACCTAGTCTATGGAAATTAGTGTCAATTGCTAGGCACTCGCTGTATGAGAATGAAGATGCTTATGAGAGTGATATTTTAAAATACAACTAGTTCTACTAGTGAGGACACAGTGCATCATGGCTCACCTAGACTTCCTTGATGTTATCTGTTCAGAGACCTACTAATAAGACTTCCACCTTACCAGTCAAATAAGTAAAGAGCTAGGGAAGTGTCATGGTTAATGTGTTTGGACTGTGGTTTGTGAAATCCCAGATCTAGTTGCCACTGAGCTGTTAAACTCACAGGGTCACCTTGGACCCGCCACAGTCCCTCAGCCAAATCTACAGAGTTGCTGTGAAACGTAAGTGGAGAGAAAAGCCACATATGCCACTTGAGCTGATTGGAGAAGGGGCAGGATTTAATATAATCATAAATAAAAGGAATAAGCCTCAATATTCTGAGGGCAAGGCTTGTATCTGAGCCACCCGGAGCTTCATCTGGCAATTCTGTCATAGACGCAGAAGAAAGATTTCTGGTGAGCTAGGAAGATGCAGCGATGCCGTGTGAGGGACCCAGTTCTGTCCTTTAATGGATTGCTCTGCAGGCAGCAGGAGGTGCTGGTTATATTGAGCTTGGTGCCGTTTCCAATCAGGATAATCTCTCAACCTGATTAGCACGAACTACACAGTACTGGCTTCCCCGCCATTCCTTACTGATCCTTCCTTCCATGTAACAATATCCTGGACCGAATTAGATGGTTATTGTTTCATCAAAAAGGCATAAATGACATAAAGCTTGAGACTAAGGGAAGAGGCAGAGTGTGCAGAAGATGGGGCTGGATGAGATGATGTCCATTGTTCTTGAAAACCAGCAGCTGGGAAAGCAAGGAGCTTGCCGATTCAGCAGAAACCAAAGGCAGTCCGTTTGCGGTCGGCCCTGCCTCTGTAGACAAATGACTTGGCTGGGACCTCTGAAGATCAGTCTGTTGCCTTCGAAGAGCCACATAAGCCTCTTGTGTTGGCTTAGAGCAGAAAAAGCAGGGGCAACAGGTTGCCTTTATGTCACAAGACTGGAGCTCATATTCTGATCCCTATACCAGGAATTTTTTTTCAAACAAACAAAGAAACAGGTCGGCCCTGCCTCTGTAGACAAATGACTTGGCTGGGACCTCTGAAGATCAGTCTGTTGCCTTCGAAGAGCCACATAAGCCTCTTGTGTTGGCTTAGAGCAGAAAAAGCAGGGGCAACAGGTTGCCTTTATGTCACAAGACTGGAGCTCATATTCTGATCCCTATACCAGGAATTTTTTTTCAAACAAACAAAGAAACAAACAAAAAAGTTGCAGCCAAAAGTCATACCTAGAAGCTGGAGGAGGTGGAATCCACACTGGAGTGCAGTCTTGTGGAAAAGCATTCCCTGTGGTAGTAGAACTTGCCTCAGGTGGCTGATTGTGATATTGCCAACAGCACATAGAAAAATGTGGCTCTGTGCTCCATGGGTAGGGACGACTTTTCTTTGGTTGAGAAATACCTTTATTGATTTATGATTTTTGTCATTTTCTGTTAATTGATATTTTTAATTTATTTTATTATAATTGTATATATGTTCCTGTTAGCCGCTCAGAGTGGTATAGATTTACCAGATGAGCGGGATATAAATCAAATAAATAAATAAAATAATAATAATAATGATTGTGATATTGCCAACAGCACATAGAAAAATGTGGCTCTGTGCTCCATGGGTAGGGACGACTTTTCTTTGGTTGAGAAATACCTTTATTGAATCACTAAGAAAGTACTGTATCAACAAGGCAAACATCCAAGTTCTTTTCTGTTCTGAGTCACCCAGAGAGGCCTGTATGCCTTACCCTAGGCAACAGCCAACAAAGGGATTCTAGCCAGGCTTTGTTCTCATCTACTCGGAGGAGGGAAGACTATAAACCGATATCCTGACACCTTTTTTGTTCTGCACCAAATCTGCAAACTTCCTTGCTCTCTTGCTTGCAGTTGGTGCTGAAAAACAACAGGCATCCTCACCTCTGGCCTGATTTTTTTGCGTGCCTTGCACCCTCCCCTACCCCCAAACTTGGTTAAATATCCCCTCCCCCCATGCTTAATGATGAATTCAGGAGATCTCCAAAGTTGTCCTTTCCAGCAGAGTCTGATGAATGTTTCTGTGAAGACAAGCAGCCATGAGGTTGGCATGCAACTGATCTTCCTCCCCAGTGGTATGTCCCACACCCCTCAAACATTTTTGTAGTAGATGGTTGATGCTGTGAACACCATTATCTTTAGACGCAAGAGACAATATGCAGCCATTCCATGTTGCAGCCATTCTGTTGCTTTGCATAATCCATTTCATGCTGTGTTTGTGCAACTTTTGGGGCGTGGTGGCGCTGCGGACTAAACCGCAGAAGCCTGTGCTGCAGGGTCAGAAGACCAGCAGTCGTAAGATCGAATCCACGTGACGGAGTGAGCGCCCATCACTTGTCCCAGCTCCCGCCAACCTGGCAGTTCGAAAGCATGCAAATGCGAGTAGATAAATAGGGACCACTTCGGTGGGAAGGTAACAGCGTTCCGTGTCTAAGTCGCACTGGCCATGTGACCACGGAAGATTGTCTTCGGACAAAACACTGGCTCTATGGCTTGGAAGCGGGGATGAGCACCGCCCCCTAGAGTCGAACACAACTGGCCAAAAATTGTCAAGGGGAACCTTTACCTTTACCTTTGTGCAACTTTAATAGCCCTTATTTTTGAACTACCATTATTTCCATTGTGCTTAACATGATTCCATGCAATGAAAAAGCACTGTAAAAATACACAGATTGTTAGTTGTTTAAAGTTGTAAACAGCCTTATGTGTGACCTGGCCTTAAATCTCTTTCACTTTCCTCTTGTCTGGTGAAAAAGATCAGCAGCCTTCCTTCCTGCAGCTTCCCTGAAGTCCACATCCTCCAGCTTATCTCAGCAGGGAACTCCTAGCTTGCCTTACTAGTTCTGCCAAATCTTCCCTTATCCCACCCTAGGCCCTTTTGTTCTGGGCTTCTTTCAGACTGATATTAGAAACTGCAACAACAGGTTGCAGTGTAAGAGTGTCCTTTTGTACAGAGATTGACGACACTAGTTCTTTGGATTGCAGTGGACTCCCAACTCCCTGAATCCCTCAGACATCAGTAGCCCTGATATCTGAGGGACTCTGGAGATTTGCATCGAAAAAACCTAATGCTTCCAAGCTGTGTTCTTTTATGTCTCCAAATTCTGAAGTTTCTCTCAATCTCCTTGTGCAGAGCTGATATTGTTTTGGCTGTCTAAAAATTAGCACTCACACTTAGCGTGTGTGATCACATTTGCTCTTGGTGTCTGTGAGCGCGTGTTTGCTTGTTTTCCTCTCAACAGACTGTACATGCTAAGGATTTGATAATACCAGTTGGTGGGGCATTGGAGTACAAGAGGCTAATGAACAAGTCCAGGTCAGGCACCTGCTGTTTGAGAGACCCTGGAGCAGATGGTGGCAGAAGCTGTTCTTTAATTTGCCCCCAATACATCCAGGAGAAACTATTCCTGTCGTGCAGTCTGCAGCCATCTTCGTACTTCTCCCCTCCAGCCTAGATGACTCAGTAGTAGAGTAACCGTGCTTTTGACAGAGAAAGCCCCAGCTGCCATTCCTGGCATATCTAACAAAGCATCTCAGGCGCTCAGAAAATGAAATGCTTGTGCTCTCAGTTGTGGGAAGGGCAATGATGCCCAAGCCATGCATCAGCAGAGAACTGTGACACATGCCACCAGACAAATTAATTCATTAAATATTCCTGGGAATACGAAATGGGGGTTTAGGGACAAGGAGAGGCAGGAGCAAGAGGACAGCCTTCACAATGTTTGTATGTTCTGTGTACTTTTGGACAAAAAAAACACTCGCATCAAGGTAACCAGAATTCTGCACCAGGCTGATTTCTGCAATTATGTTTTCACCTTCAAGTACATTTGCTCTTTTTTTTTTTTGCATCATACAGTTTGCCTTAGTATTCTTCAAGAGGGACAAGGGGATATGCAGGGCTTAGAAACCACCTTGACTAATGGAAAACTTACTGATATCCCAGCTTATCCTGACCCTTCGGCTTCTGAGATTTCATGGTGCAATAGCCATATGCCTGAGATTAGGAAAGTTTGGATTTCCAGGTATCTTAGACTTCAGCTCCCGGAAAATTCATCCAGCAAGGCCAATGCTGAAGGGTATAGGAAGTGTGGTCTAAATCCAAAGACTCCCCAGGTTTAATGTAAATTTTCAAACATGTTGGGAAGCATGAAGCTGTTAACAATTAACTTCGCAAAGAAAAGAAATGTAAATTTGCTGCAGCTTCTTTTTACATAAAATAAAATATAATATGCATTACCGACAAATCCAGCATGCTGCAGATATCGGACTTGTAATAACAGTAGTTTCTAAAGGAAAAGCAATGCAAAGTCTATATCCAGTGTTACATTCTGTGTGCTTGTTCTATACCCCCAGCTCCAAAATGTGCAATACATACAACCCTGGGACTCACTGTTCTTGCTGTTTACTTCCTGTCACTGACTACCTCCATGCTTCTTTCTTATTTGCAGATACAGCTGGGACCCATCCTGCCAGCCAGAGGAGTACCCAAAGCAGCACTCTAGTCTCCACCACTTCCACCAGCCGCCTGCCTACCCCTCGCCGTGGCCTAATCCGAGTCACCACGCAGCGGGTCCTGCAGCACCCCCAGCTGGACAGACCGCAACCCAGCCTGCCTGCCATGTTGCCTGCTTCCAACCCACCCTGCTCACGCCCAGGCAGTGCCTGCAGCCAGTTTTTGCCCAACCAGACTCTTCTGCAGTGGGGGGACCTTGAGCGCACCCTGAGCTTTGCCTGGGCCTTGCATGTCTATGGCTCTGGCGTGCTGTTTCTTCTACTTAGTCTGCTCAGCTTGGCTTGCCTGGGGGGTTCCCTCGCTTTCCGGGTGCCGCATCTCCCCTACGTCCTGGGCGCCAGTGCCCTGCTGCTGTTGTTTGGGATACTGCGTGCCACATTCTTCCTGGCTGATCCCTATGGCTCCCGGGAGTGGCTCCCCGCCCGGGCTGTGCGGGTGCTGTACACGGCCCCTTTTCCCTTGTTGCTGAGCACATTTGGGGTGCTGCTGCTCCGCCTCTTCCGTCAAGCCCATCTGCAGATCTTGCCCCCCAAGTGGCAGAGCCTACCGGTGTTGGCAGTGCTGGGGTCTATCCAGAGCGCAGTTCTTTTGGCAGCTGACCTATTTTCTCCTCCACTTCACCCAGCCGTGCCAGTGGGGCTGCATCTGCTTTCCTGCATAGCTGGGGTCTGCCTTTTGCCATCCACTGTATATGTTTACCAGCAGCTGCGGCATAATGTGGCCGTGGAGGGTACCCCAGAACCAGGTGTGTGGAGCGGGGTATGGGTGCTGCTGGCTAGCAGCGGGTTGGCACTGCCGTGCTGTGGGCTACAGTTTTATGGCGTGCTATGGCTGGCCGGGCTATTCGGCCAGGTGGACCTTTTTACCTGGGGCTGGTGGTTTGTGCAGTTCTGGTTCCGGATTGGTGAGCTGGTGCTCTCGTTCGCCTTGGTCTTCCTAGCCTGGCAGGCCCTTTGCCAGCGCTATGGGTCCACAGACCACTCCTGCTGGGCCAAGCTCATGCGTTACTTCAGCACCTACCGCAAGGGCGATGTGCCAGAGTATCCCAACAACTGCTACGACTGGACTGGCGCCATCCTTGAGAAAGTACCCAACAATGACATCAGTAAGAACCTGATCCGAAACCCACCTGGCAGCGGGCGTGTCTGGGCACTCAAGGACAGCAACGAATTGCGGGCGGCGGGGGGCCAAGGTTCTAGTCCCTCTCTGGTGCACCCCGTCTACAGCCCCAAGTGCCCCAACGCGGCAGCTGCTGCCATGGGCCGCTCCTATACCAGCATCTGCTTTGAGAGGGAGTCCATCCTTTCCCTGGCAGAGCTGGAATTTCGGCCCCCCTCGCCCATCAACCTCAGCCGCAGCATTGACGAAGCCCTCTTCCGCGAGCATTTGGTGCGGGACTCCATTTTCCTGCGCTCCAGCCTCCATTTCCCCTCCCGCTTGGCCCGCCAGGACTCTTGCTCTTCGCTCCGCGGGGACTGCTCCACGCTGTCCCACACGGCTCAGCCCCTCCTGACACGGCCACGCCGCAGCAGCGACCCCGACTGCCTGTACAGCTTAGCCCGGGCTAGCTCCATGGGGGAGCTCACCACGCAGAGCCGGGGCCTGGCCAGCGAGCCCCCGACGGACACTTCCTTCGACAGCTTCTCCCACACGTCCTTCTCCCGGGCCTCCCTCAAGATCAGCTGGAACCCCTGGCGCCACGGCCTTTCCTCGCCCGAAAGCCTGCCCCCCGAGGAGCTGCCGAGCCAGGCCCGGCTGCTGCCCGAGGAGCTCCCTCCGGCCCCGTCCAGCAGTGCCCCAAACTCTGAAGGCGAGGCCCGGAAGAGTTTCTTGGCCCTCAGCAAGCAGGTGGATTCCCGCAGCCTCTCGAGTGACACCATTGAACTGTGAGGGCTGAGCTGTGGCTTTGGCCTGCATGGGCTCCCTGGGGAGACCCCCTGAGTCTGGTTGCCAGCTGAGGGAGGGAGCGGCAGAAGAGGACTGGGGTGGGGGGAGCTGGTTGGCTTCAAAGCACAGGACGGAGAGGAATCCTGATTTCCTTTTTGAAAGCCATGGGACGTCTTGGGCCCTTTTGAGGCCTAGTACCGGCTGTTCACAGAATGGCCTCAGATAAGAGCGCTGGTCTCTTCCTGTCATGTCTCCACATAATGACTACCAGCCATCCACACCACTGTGTCAGCCATGACGTACATAGCACTATCCAGCCACCTTCTTCCAAGTTCTGTAGTGCCAGCAACAAACAGGTTTCAAGAGTCACCACCACTTTTTGTGTTTCCAGGAAAAGAGAATGGCCGTTAATTCTTCATCCCGGTAACCTGATACCTCCAAGCCTACAAGTAATTCATTTAGTCACAATCTTGGGAGTGAGTTGAACTGCCAACTTCACAGCCACATCTTTTCACCTACGGTAGTTTTTGGACTTCCTTCTTCCTTCCTCCATCCCATAAGGGTTTGTTTTTTTTTTCCGGGCGGGGGGGAGGATACTGTATAGACTGATGAGATCCCGGTAACCTGATACCTCCAAGCCTACACGTAATTCATTTAGTCACAATCTTGGGAATGAGTTGAACCGCCAACTTCACAGCCACATCTTTTCACCTCGTTTTTGGACTTCCTTCTTCCTCCATTCCATAAGGGGTTTTTTTTTCGTGGGGGGGGCGTACTGTATAGACTGATGAGGAGTTCTGGAGATTGAAAACTTGCACACTTGGGACATTGGTGGTGGTGGGGTCTTAATAAATGTATTGCCTAAAGGTGGTTTTAACAGGAAGCAAATATTTTTAAAATTTTCCCATTTGAAAAATGGCTGCTTTATGGAGAGACAGGATGTGTGGATCATGACCATTCTCCCATAGCCAGGACAATCAATCCTCTCTATTCAAAGAGGCAGACTCTGCAGCTGCTTTCTGTGGCTACCCATTTCATACCATAGAAAGATGCCATTATAGATCAGGCTGGGAGAAACTTGCTCTGGAACCAGATATTGGGTGGCCCAAAGCTTAGTGGCAGACTACATGCTTTCCAATTGGAATGGCCCAAATTCCATCCCCACACATTTCTCTTTTGAAGGAGTTGGGCAGCCAAACCATGAAAGGATTTCTGCTCTAAAACCAGTGCCAGCCAAAAGATAATCCAGAGCTAAATGGACCAATAGCAATGTGGGGGGGGGGGAATTTGGACTACCTCCCTCAGAATCACCCGCTTTTGTGGCTGTGGACCATACTGGCTGAGGGATTCTGGGAGCTGTAGTATACTATAAAAGATCCCCCCCTCAATTCTGGTGAATATGAATCATGGTAAGAGGTCAACATTTTATGTTGTACAGCAGTATTTCGAGAGGCGTCTCCCAGAGCTAAAAACCTGTAATCCAAAAGGATTTCCTTCAGATACCAAGAAAAAGAATCCTTCATTTTTCTTTTCTGAAACAGAAAAGTCTCTGATAACAACGAAACATGGTAACAATGTAAATTTGGCTCCATGCAGCAAGTGTCTCCTCAGTTATCTGAAGAGATAGAAATTCCTCTCTGTACTCATACATATAGACACACTTAAGATATGTTTTACAACGTGACAATGTGGGGCTTTTTAAAAATCCCTTCAGAGCCCCTATCTTCTTTCATGATCCTTGGTCTGTGTCTGTATATCTTCTAACCTATATGCACTCTTGCTTCTCTTCCTTGCCTCCTTTTTTAAAATAAAATCAACATTTGAAACTTGCCGGAAATAGCTTGGAATCTGAAACTTGTTCACGTGTTGTGGAGAAGTGGAAGAGAGGAACGATAGCTGCAGAATGAAGTTGAAACAGAAAATGCTGCTCTTTAGAACTGGGTTTCCTTGCTTGGTATTGTACTTTCCTGTCCTCTGTTGTGGTAAGGAAGCAAAAAAGTGGAGCTGCCCAGATTTGTAGTTGGGCAGAGAAATGCTTTTGAATGTGGCCTGGTCTGTTTGTGCCAAAAAGAAATAAACCATTTGTCAGAGGAGAGCAGCCTGGCGTCTGGTCTGTCTCCCATTATTTATTATATTTATATCCTGCTTTCATCTCAAAAGCTCATGGCAGGGTTACAACAGCCCTGTGGGGCAGTTTAGGTGGAGGGGAGAGCAAGTGGCCCAAGTGCACCCAGTGGGTTTCAAAGTTCATTGGAAATTAGTATCTGCGCCTCTCAAATTCAAGTCCAAGATCCTAACTGTTTACACTCACTGTTGTTCACTGCTACGGGGAATGGGAGTTAATATGGTGTCTTTTCTTCATGAATGCAGAGACAAAGGAGCTGAGCAAGCCTCAGAAGAAAAAGACGTTTCTCTGTATAGCCAAGTGTCTCATTCCCTGAATTCAGTGTTTCCTCAATGACTCCCCTTCAGATACATTTCATAAAACAAACAAAACATTAATTGCTGTCCTGGATGAACCCTCTGAACCCACCCTCTGCATCCTCATAACCACCTTGAAAGCTGAGCTAAAGTAAGAAATAATAAATGCCCGAACTTTTTTAATACAGAGAAAAATGTCATGCTGTCATGAACAAATCATGGCTTACTTAGTGCAAGAGCCTTGGCTTCAAAACAAAGCAACAATAATATGAGAAGGGGTGGGGGGGGAGGTTGATTTTTAAATAGATGGCTCTGTTGGTCTGCTTTGGCATGTAAAAAATATATATATATAAAAGGCTTAGGCATCTTTTAGACACAACGGATTTATTTCAATGTGAGCTTCCATGGATATTGTGTGCAGGCAGACATGTACACATGCAATAAACAGACAACGGTGAATGTGCCTTTGTCGTGCAACTCTTTTATATATTACATTGCATGTGAAGAACGGTCTCACACAGATTGTTATCTATACAGATTTACTTAGAAAATTGGGCCAGAAAAATTCAATGAGAAACATAAAAAGGACCATGTGGGGATATAGGCAGAATTCCAGCAGTTAAGTCATGAAAGTAGAATGGGAGTGGTAACTTTTGGTCGTCTGGGTACTGGACCACAATCTGCATCAGGCATAGAAACCCACAAGGAGGGCTGATGAGTGAGGAGTAATTCAACAACCACTTTCAGCACCATACACTGTGCCTCCCCCTTCAGCAGAAGCACTGCAGCAGTGAACTTATTTCCCAACATGGCTCCCCCCCCCCCAGTTTAAAAGACTTGTTTATTAGATGCAGAGGAAGACCTGCTGCTGCCTGTAACAGAGGACAAGATAGTGTGTGCTAATTCTACATGCTCTTATTCCATGAACTAAACAGGTTAATTATGTTTATGTATGTTTATCATACCCAAGATCAGAAGGCTAGTTCAGGATGGGTATGGCAGTTTACATGGCACATGGCTCAACAAAAGGGATGGCCAAGGAACTGAGAAGGACTAGAGAGGAAAAGGAGATTATTGTTGCTTCTGCCACCTCCTGCATTTGCTGCCTGAGGCAATTGACTCATTCTGCTTAATGATAGGGCCAGTCCTTTAATTACAGCTGCATATATACTGTAATTCTGGTGGAAAAGAAGTATGCACATGCACACGCATGTGCACATGATCTCTCTCTCAAGTATGCACATGCACACGCATGTGCACATGCTCTCTCTCACACACAATCAGTCATGTTTTGTTCTTTTCCACTAGAAATACAGCCTACGTACAGCTGCAGTTAAAGGACTGGCCCTATAATTTTGTGTCCTTCAGTCTTCCTCAAATGTGTGCTCTCTCACTCATTCTCATACACACACACATACACAATGAGGAAGATGTAAGAATGCAAATTAAAAACAAGTGGGTTTGTGAGAGTGCCACCATGTTTTCCAGCCATGAATTTTAGATTTTTCTATCTGCAAAGAATGTGCAGAATTTCATAAATTCCTGGTATAGTTCAGTCCCAGTATAGTTCAGAGATTTTTCTATTTGCAAAGAATGTGCAGGATTTCACAAGTTTCCGGTACAGTTCAGTCCTCTCTCTGCCTCTAATATTTATGCAAGAATACTGATCTTTGCTCAGATGGAACACAGTAAGACTTACAAGACAAAGTCCAAGAAAAAGTCTCAGCACCAGAAGCAGTTGAAATATTGTGTTACAGGATAGAGACTCGTCGGAGAGTAGGAGAACATTGGAGGCATTCAAGAGAAAGTTATACAACCATCTATCAGACATACTTTGATCTGGATTCCTACACTGAGCAGGGGGTTGGACTCGATGACCTTATATAGGCTTCTTCCAACATTATTCTATGATTCTGTACTTCCAGGGATTTGTTTTCAGTCCAGAAATACACATTCAAATTACGTAAGCCAACAAATCAGATGCCTTTGAAGAGACTTTAATAAACTGTCCATCTCACAAGCTGCAAACCTGTACAACCCTTCTTGGGCCTAATCTCTTTAGAGCATTTAAAGCAGAAATGTATTAAAACTTGCAGCTCGCAGTGCATTGTTGACTAGCTAATTATCAAAATACATACTTAAACCAGATCTTTCTTGTACGTGTTTGCACTGTCAAGCTGATCCTAACTTATGGTGACCCCAATGTATGTGAGATATTTAAGGTGTGTTTTTAGCAGTCACACGCACGGACCTGGTGAGTTTCAATAGCCCAAGTAAAGACTTGGTCTAACTACACTACACTGGCTTCAACAGGCTGGTGAAAAAGGCAGAAGTGTGCAAAAGCACAAAGGAAAGTGTTTTGTGCTTTTGCACACCTTGTTTTCTTAGCCAGCCTAAATTTGTTTGACGCTGACACTGTTATCTCTACTTCTGTTGGTGACCTTGCAGAGAACTACTTATCAGCTGTTTTGGACCATCCTTCATCTCCACAGCAGTTCCACAAACAGCGGTAGGGACAGATGAGAACGGACACAGTAGCACTTTAGCCAGTCTTCCCGTTAGCAAATATTGTGAAATCTCTCTCTTCCCTTCTGTCTCTCACACAC